TCTAAAGAAAGGTGAGACAGTCTGCTTCCTTAAAGACATACAGCCCTGGAACCCTGTATGTATTCATTGTCTTGGAGTTATAATCTTTAACGTAGGTTAGTTTGCCAAACTTTTTATATCTTATATGACCAGAGAAAGAGACGAAGACCATCGATGAGATGGACTGATTTCAGTGGCCGGGGTAATGAGGGTCAATGTGTCAGAGACAGTAAATTTGGTAGAGGATAGACCAGTTTTCAGGGCTATTGTACATGGGGTCGCTATGAGTCGCAAGCAACTCAACGACACATAACCACAACTGTGACCTTCAAACTTATGAATAGTGTAGGCAATTGTATGTAAACTAGACCTCAGTTTGGATTTTGTATTTTATTTCTCATGATTAAACATTTTTATTAAAAGTACTAATTGTTGTTCTTAGTGCTGTCGAGTTGTAGGCTACCATAGTGACCATATGAACGAAAGTCCTCAACTCTTGGATGACTTTCATCCTTTCTCCAGCTTCATAAGGGTTTCTGGAGGCAGGCTGTTTCAGAAGTGGATGTCACTCCTGCTTCCAAGCTTGTTTTAATGTGGGAACCCCAACAAACACTGTCCACCATGGGTAACCATTATCACATTTGACACATCAGTGTCACAATGTTCAGCATCACAGCAACTACGAGTTACCTCTGTACAGCAAGTGAACAGATCAAGGCTATACGACCTAGAAGAACGTTTGACCGAAAACAAATAAAAACAGGCCTGAGGGCAACGGATTAAAGTCACTCACCTTTGGTGTGGTAGCATCACTTTCTATCCAAGAGGCCCATAGAGCTCTCTCTCTGTTGTTAAGTGCCGTTGAGTCGTAAGTGTCTCACTGATAGTCATGTTAATAATAATGATCCATTAGGGACCAAGACACTTAAAAACTCACTATTATTTTAGTTAGAAATTATTTGAAATTTTAACGTTTTGTTAGTATTTTGGGCATAAAAATTCACCATCTGGGTTTGTCAAAGTTCAACATTCTCATGCTTGATTTTTTAATTACTAATTTTTTAATTGAGTGTAATTTATATACCATTAAATTTCATTCTTAGAAAGTTATAATTCTTTGATATATTAGAAAATGCCATGTAGCCATCATCATATTCACTATATAGAACAATTTTGCTCGTGTGAAACCTGTACTTTGACGAGGAAGCAGTAGTCAGAACAGAACAGAGAAACACTACATGGTTCAGGATCAGGAAAGGTGTGCATCAGAGATGCATCCTGTCCCCATACATTTTCAATCTTTATGCAGAACAGTTCATTTTTGAGGCTGGACTTTATGAGGAAGAATGTGCCATCATAAACTGGAGGAAGACAACAACCTGCATGACACAACCTTGCATACAGAAACGGAGGAAAATATGAGGCATTTGCTGCAGACGGTAAAGGATTGTAGTCTTCAAATGAATTGAAGCTCAACATCAGAAAACAGATTCTCATGACTGCCATTTGGCAGTTTTATTATAGATGGAGAAGAGATTGAGATTGTTAATAACTTGAGTTTGCTTGGTTCTGAAATCAATACTCTTGGCAACAGCAGTTAGGAAATCAAAAGACAAATTGCATTTGGAATGTCTGCTGTCAGGTACCTTGCTAAAAGTACTAAAGAGCAAGGATTTCATACTGGAGACTTAAAGTGTAGCTCATATTGGCCATGGTCTTCACTATTACTTACTGTACCCCTGAGAGCTGGACAGTAACTTAGAATGATAGAAGGATCAATGGCTTTGAATTGTGGCGCTGGAGAAGAGTGTTGAACATATACCATGGACTGCAAACAGGTCTGCCCTGGAGAGGGAGAATCCAGGCTGTTCGCTGAAGCCAAGGATTTTGAAGCTCTCATATACTTTGGGCACATGGCCATGAGGGATTGGTGCTTGAAGAATGACGTAATACATGGAAGAGTGGAAGGACAGTGCAGGAAAGAAAGACCCGTGATGAGATTGATTGACTCAGTGACTGGAGAAATGGTATTAGGTCTTTTGGAGAAGATGAGATTGGCTCAGGACAGGACAACGTTCAAAGCTGGTGTACCTAGGGTTGCTATTAGTTGCAGGTGACTTGATGGCACATAACAACCCCTTTACAAGGGTTTCCCCATATAGAGCCCTGGCAACAACTAGTCTCTTCTTGTAGTTATATCTTTTTCAGAATATTCTGACAATGAAATAAAGGTCTGCCCTTCTTTAATTCATCATACTAAAAATGATTCATCATATTAATTATAGGACTTATTATATTCTTGCATATTACCAGTATTTATTTTTAATTGCTCAGTTGTATTTCATTATATGGATGTACCACAGTTTGTTTATATATTGATCGATTGAAAGCTATTTGAATTGCTCTAAATATTGGGAGATTATGAATATTATTGCATCTTGGTTTTTATATGGACTCAAGTTTTCATTCTACTTGGGAAAATTACTCAGATGGGATTACCTGTCTGCTTAACTTTATAAAAAAACTGCTAGACTATTTTCTAAAGTGGCAGCACCATTTTGCATCTTTATCAGCAATACTTGAGAGCTCTAGTTGCTTTGTATTCTTGACATGTCCAGTTTTAGAAATATTAGATCTTCTAATAGCTGTTGTAATGACTTCTCATTATGGTTTTTATTTACATTTGCCTGGTGATAATCTTACATAACCATATAGTATAGTGTGTAACCATATAGATAATATATTAACCATCTCTCAGGTTTTTGGAGGCTAGGATTTTGAAGCTCCATCTCACATAATTTGGGCACATGTCCTTGGAGAAGGACATCATGGCTCAGAAGGTTAGAGGGACAGCGTAAGAGAGGAAGACCCCAATGAGATGAATTGATACAGTAACTGGGGCAATGGGGGTAGACGTGTTGGAGTCAGTGAGATTAGCTCAGGACAGGGTAGGGTTCAGAGTTGTACATAGGATCGCTCTGAATCACAGGCGACTTGACACCACATAACAACAATAACAAGTTCTTGCAGGCCGTCCTTTCAGAAGTGTTAAAATCACTTGCCTTTTTAAAAAAAGGTTTTTGTTTGGTTTTTTTTCTTTTCGGTTTTTTATAACTGATTTTAAAGGTTCTTTTACTAGACATGGTATTTTAATTTACTGTACCCGTTTAGTATATAATTTAATTTACTATATGACCGTATAGGCAGCTCTGATGGTGATTATCTCTCTCTCTCGCTCTCCCTCCCCCGCCCCCCTGTGGCACAGCTGGTGGATTTGAATCGTGTACCTATGTATTGGCAGCATAATTCTTTACCACTAAACTGCCATATTAGTTTTTCCAACGACTATTAAATGTTCAAACATTCAGTGAAGTTAAAAGAGTATTGAAATGAACATGTTCCTGCAGTCTGAAATTTAGGATGTAAAATCTTTGAATAGCGCTACTTGTAGGCCTTTTCAGTAGACAGAAAAGAAATATTTGAAATATAGATTAATTCTTTTTTACATTTTTAATTACAATTTAACATTTAATGGTTAAATGTTCTTTGTCAATGAAAATCTTAATGACATGGATATAACACTCATACACACATATGAGTGGCATAGTGGCTAATGTGATCGATTGCTAACTAAGTTGGGGGGAGGTAGAGTGTGGTAATCACAGGGTCTCAAAATTTGGGGCGGTGGGTGGAGGGGGGTGGGAGGTGAAGGAAATGAGAAAGATCCAGTGGGAAAAACAATGTACTTGAACTTTGTGAATAAACCAGTATAAATTTTAAAAAAAACAAAAACCACAACAGTCCAGCGGTTTCAACCCACCAGCTGCTACGCAAGAGAAGGGTGGGCAGTCCTGGCTTGATGGCAGTGGGCTCGGATTGGAGGTTGTGTATGTACTTTAGATATGTACATAATACGTGTATTTACTGGTGTGTGCCATCAGGCCGATTGGGACCGATCACTGTGCGGGAGTGGAACTGCTCCATAGAGTTTCTTAGGGCTTAGATTTAATGGAAACAGATGGCAGGGTTTTCTTATTTCTTGGAATGACTGGTGAGATTACACTACCAACATCTTGGTTCATAGCTGAGTGCTTAATGATAGCACGACCAAGCCCACATATCTGTATACATTTGTATGTGTAAGGCTGCTCCAAGGGTTCTCAGGTTCCATCTGACATACTTTGGGCATGTTGCCATGAGGAACTAGTCCTTGAAGAGGGGACATCATGCTTGGGAGGGTGGAGGGACATCAGCACAAGAGAGAAAGACGATGAGATTGACTCAGTGACTGGGATATTAGGGGTAGGTGTCAGAGATGGTAAGGTTGGCTCAGGATAGAGCAGGGTTCAGAACTGTTGTATGTAGGGTGACTCGATGGTACGGAATAACAAAACTGTGTGGGTGGGTGTATTTAACAAGATCTTTTTAGAAGTTTGACTTTTGTCTTTGTCCCTCATTTTTTCTTTTGTGGGAAGGCCCTCTATGAGGTAGATTGATTCAGTGACTGGGATAATTGGGATGGGTGTGTCAGAGGCAGTGTGATTGGCACAGGACAGAGCAGAGTTTAGGGCTGTTGTACATAGGGTCGCTGTCGAGTCGCTTGCGACTCGACAGCACCTAACAACAACAACAACTAGGTTTTGTTATGGTTTATCTGTTGTCATTTTTCTTTTACTGCATACACACACTCCCGTTGTAAATTTCCTTTTCTTGTAAAAACCAGAATTCTGAACATATTATTCTGAATCCTGCTTTTGTATTTTACTAGGTTATTATAAAAATAATGAAGGATATTTGCTTTTTGTATCATAACACATAATTGAGAATTTTATATTAGTTACAGTTTTTAGAATTTTTTTGTTAATCTTTTATCTTTGCTAGGTCTATTTAAGATAGAGACACTTGGTAACAATTTATTGGATTACTTAAAATGGAAACAGTTGTTTTCTAAAGTTTTATTATTTTTTGGTTCTACTTTTCAGTCTTTCATTGTGGGTTGCTTTTTTTTTTTTAATTTACAGATTGAAGATCCAGGTTGCTTCTGGGTTATTATAAAAGGCTATAGTCCATTTTTAGATCATGAAGTTGACTATAAAAAACTAAATAGTGCCATGAATGACTTCTATAACAACATGTGTCAAGATGTAGAAATAAAACCATTGATGCTGGAAGAAGGGCAGGTATGTATCTAAATGTGCTTTGAACACTGTGTTTTGAAATAACATTTAAAGGGTAAAATATTTTAGCAACTAATAAATTCACAATTTTGCTTATAATTGTCTTGTTTGGTTGCACAAATTTTAGGCTGTTCCTGAAGGTTGTGTTACATGGATTGGATGGGTGAAGGGGGTGGTGGTGGGGGGTGTGGTGGTATATGCCGTCACACTGCTTGCAACTCATAGCGACCTTACGTACAAGAGGCCTAAACCCTGCTCTAGCCTGTGCCAACCTCATTGTCTCAGACACACCTACTCCTGTTAGCCCAGTCACTGAGTCAATCGCTCTCACCGAGGGTCTTCCTCTCCTGCGCTGTCCCTCCACTGTCCCAAACATGATGTCCCTCTTCAGGGACTTGTCTTTCCTTGCAACATGTTCAGAGTATGTCAGATGAAGTTTCAGAATCCTTGACTCCAAGGAGCAGCCAGTCTTCACGCTCTCCAGGACAAACCTGTTTCTTTTCCTAGCAGTCCATGGTATATTCAACACTCTTCTCTGGCACCAAGGCATCGGTTTTCTTTCTATCATTCCTAGTCACTGTCCAGCTCTCTGATGCATAGCGCACAATTGCAAAGATCAGTGCCCAGATCAGGCCCACCTTAGTCTCCAGCCTGACGTCATTGCTTGTCAGTACTCTGGGGAGGTCCCTGACAGCTGACTTTCCCAATGCAGTTCATCTCTTGATTTCCTGGCTGTTGGTACCAAGAGTGTTGACTATAGAGCCAAGCAAACTAAAACTGCTAACCATCTCAATCTCTTCACCGACCTTACTTGATTGGGCCATTTGACCCAGTGGTGAGAATCTTTTTTTTCTTGATGTTGAGCTTCAATCCATATTGAAGGCTGCAGTCCTTGACCTTCTGTAGTAAGTGCTTAAGGTCCTCCTGAGTTTCAGCAAGGAGGGTTGTGTCATCTGCATAACGTAGGTTGTTGATGACACTTCACCAACCCTGATGCCACATTCCTCCTCGTACAGCCTAGAGTCCCAGCTGATCTGTTCTGCATACTGATTGAAAAGGTATGGAGACAGAATACATCCCTGGCAGACCTCCTTCCCAATTTTGAACCATGCAGTATCTCGTCTCCTTGCTCTGTTCTGACACAACTGCCTCTTGGTCTAAGTATAGGTTTCGTATAAGCACAATCAAATGTTCTGGGATTCCCATTCTTCTCATAGTCAGCCACAGTCAAAAGCCTTTGCATAGTCAATGAAGCATAGATAGACAGTCCTCTGGTATTCTCTGCTTTCTGCCAAGATGCATCTCACATTAGCTATAACGTGCCTAGTACCACAGCCTCTTCTAAACCCAGCCTGCACATCTGGCAGTTCTCTGTTGATGTGCTGCTCCAGTAGTTTTTGGATAATTTTCAGCAGAATCTTGCTTGTATGTGATATTAATGACATAATGGAATGGGAACAAATATCGATCTTTTCCAGTCAGTTGGCCAGCTGGCTGTCCTCCACATTTCTTGGCACAACTTAGTGAGCACATCCAGGGCAGTGTCTGTTTGTTGAAATAAATCAATGGGTATGCTGTCAACTCCTGGAGCCTTGTTTTTTTGCCTATTCTTTCAGAGCAACTGGAACTTCCACCTTCATCACCACAGGCTCTTGCTCATACATTATTTCATGAAATTCTGTGTCAGTCAGTTCTTTCTGGTACAGTGACTCTGTATACTCCTTCCATCTTCTTTTAGTATTTCTTGGGTCATTTAACACTCTGCTCAAAGCATCCTTAAGTATTGCCGCTCGTGGCTTGAATTTGTTTTTAAATTCTTTCAGCTTAAGAAACACTTGAGAGAATTTGGCCCTTTTGATTTTCCAAGTCCAGCTCTTTGGACATTTCATTATAGTATCTTGCTTTGTCATCACGAGCTGCCCTTTGAAATTTTCTGTTAGACTCTTTAGTTTCTTGATTTCTTCCTTTAGCTTAGGCTTACATCCATCTTGGTCTTTTCTTTCTCTTCATCTTTATAATGATCTTTTACATTATTGATGGACAATATTCTTGATATCCTCCCACAGCTCACTTGGTCTATGCTCATTGGTGCTCAGGGCCTCAGACCTGTTCCTGAGATGGTTTTGGAATCCGAGTGGGATAGACTTAAGGTCAAATTTTGGTTCTCATGGATTTGACTTAATTTTCTTCGACTTTACCTTGAATTTGCATATGAGTAGTTGGTGGTCTGTTCCACAGTCAGCACCTGGCCTGGTTTTCACAGATGATATTGAGCTTTTCCTGCGATTCTTTCCACAAATGTAATCAGTTTGATTCCTCTGCGTACAATCAGGTGCAATCCATGTGTATATCCTGCGTTTGTGTTTCTCACAAAAGGTATTTGCAATGAATAAATCATTGAATGTGCTGACTTCTATCTCCAACCTCATTTCTGTCACCAAGTGTATGTTTTCCAGCTATTGATCCTTTTTCTCTGTTCCCAACTTTTGCATTCCAGTAGCTCATAATTTTATCAGTGCATCTTGATTGAATGTTCAGGCGATTTCTGACTGCAAAAGTTGGTAGAAATCTTCCATTTCCTCCTCTTTGGCTATACTTTTCCATGCTTATATTTGAATGATAGTGGTATTCACTGCACTTCCTTGTATGCGTATGGATATTATCCTGTCACTCACCACATTGTATTTCATGATGGATCTAGAAATGACTTTTTTAATTATGAAAGAAACCCCATTTTTTTCTCACCTTTTCATCCCCAGCATAGGTAGATCATATAATCATCTGATTCAAAATGTCCCATGCCACACCATCTCACTTCGCCAATACCTGTATTCACTAATATCAAATAGTTACTTGTGTCATTTCTTTTTTAACAAGGTCCAGTTTTTCTACATTCATGCTTCTCACATTCTGTGTTCCAGTTGCTAGTGTCTGCTTACAGCTGTTCCTCCTCCTTTGTGTTGCCGTTTCTGAGATCTCAGTCTCAATTGCCATGTCTGCTAGTTAGAAGGTATCTCATTTAAATCTATCTTCCTACAGCTGCGAACAAGGCGGTAAGGAGTTGAACCACCAACTCAAAGGCACATTGTTCAAATCCACCAGCTGCTCTACTGGAGATAGGCAGTCTTGTACTGTACAGTAAACTGCCTCTGAAAACTTTCTGGAGGGTCAGCTTTCTGGTTGGTTCTGATTTGATGTTATGTAACAACAGTAACTGAACTGGGAGCAGTCTAGTTTAGTGCACTTGTAAAGGGGTCGTCAGCAAGGAGAACAGGGGTAGGTTACCTTTTGCCGCTGTTACGACTTTGGCCAATTCAGGCTGATTTATTTTCCTCATTCTGTATCAAAGTCCTGCCTTCTTTCCTTTCAGCTTCACCACTGTATTCCCATTGCCCAGTTTTCCCTATCAATTAGTAATTTTTCAGTGAATGTGTTTGAACTTTCCTATAGTGTTACAGAAAAAGATTTGTAAGCTTTTTGAACAAAACTAGAAATAATTTGAATGCATTACCTTACCCTCCAGAAATCCTCTGTGATAGCGATACATTTTTTTCCTTACCTGAACTTGTTGAGAAAATGCAGTAAGGGATAGTCCATATAAACGGTTTTACATTTTGACTAGCCTGATTACTTCCAGATGATGGTGTTGAACTTTTTTCCTCTTTCTATTCTATTTTTTTGTTTTTTGTGGGCACATAGTTCAGTATGAAGCTTGGGTTAGAGTTAGGAACACACCTCACTGATGCTGTGAACTTCGTATTGTATTAATTCGAGACACACTTGAAGATGCTAAAATTTACTGGTGAGCACAGGTAAAGGTGACTTGCTCCCTCCCTTGTGCCTTTATTGATCAGCATCATTGTTTTGCCCAACTCATTAATCCTGGCTTACCAGATCAGCTCTTTTCATGCACACTTTCCATCTGTTGCTTCTCCGTGTTTCTTCTGACCTCTTTGCTGGAGCTCTGCTATTTGGTCATCCTGTAAATATTCATGATGAAAACAAAAAAAATTGCTCAGTTCTTTCCTTTATCAGTCTCCAAGGTAGTGACTTTTAGGCCTAACTTTCACCATTGGTGAATGAACTTTGGTGGTGCTGTGGTTACAGCACTTGGCTGCTACCCAAAAGATCAGTAGTTCGAATCCAACAACTGCTCCATGACAGTTAGCGGAGTGGATCTGCTTCAGTAAAGATGTCCAGCCCTGTGAGCTCCAGGGCAGTGCTCCCTGGTCCTGCATGGTACCTAGAAGTTGAATTGATAGAATGGCAGCAGATTGACTTTGGTTTTGCTGTCTAGAATTTATTTCTCTCTTTTTTAAAGAACTGTGCTAGTTGGAACATAAAGCTTTTAATATCTTCATCAGTTGCAGTCATTGTACTATCTCATTTTGGCTAGTAGAATATAACATTTCAAAGTTGAATAGCTATGTAAATTTTTAACTACACATAGTATCCCTCCAAGGGATACTTAAAACATTAAACAGAAACACCCTCCATCTTTTATTACAATTTGTCTTGAATTATTTTAGTTTTGGATTGTATGAAGTCTTAAGGAATCCATCCTTTGCATAATGGCTACACTCTGTTTTCCACCTTAAACTTTTGAGGACAGGAGTCAGTATTGTTACTTCTTTCCTGTTTAGCACAGCTCTTCCCACTGGATTTCTTTCCAAGCCTGTAGTCAGTAAATAATTAGCTTTTTAGGATTGCTTGTCAGGACAGCTTAGGTCTGGTGGTATTTGGTAGTAGTCAGGATGCCAAGGGCTGTCATTTCAGCAGGGTAGTTACTCTTTAACAGGGACTTCAGGCATTTATTTATTCAGTTTTTTACTGAGTAGCGTTTGAACAGTTCACATATGCAAGGTACTGTTCTAGGCAGTGGAACTATGAAAAGACAATCTGACATCTTCTTGCACAGACAGTAAACACTTAGTAAAAGGTGATAAGAGGCAAGGGAAGGAGGGCAGGGGACAGACCTGAGGCTGCCTTTCATTTTGGCCGGCTCTTGTGGTTGACAGCCATGACCACTTTTAGTGTTCTCATTTTATAACTAGCAAAATTAATACTGAGGTTTTGGAGAACCAAAACCTTGTGTCCATTTATTTTGTAGGTTTGTGTGGTTTACTGCCAGGAGCTAAAGTGCTGGTGCAGGGCAGTCATTAAGTCCATCGTGTCTTCAGCTGACCAATACTTAGCAGAGTGTTTCCTTGTGGATTTCGCCAAGTACATTCCAGTAAAATCTAAAAAGTATGTATGTCTCTGTTTTACCTTCCACTGTTTAAGGAAACAAATGTCGGGGTTTTAAGGAGAATGCCAGTTTTCAAGGTGAGATAATAGAAATTTTTTCCTTTTCAGAAATTGGTAAGGATAAACTTGTGTGCTGAATGTAAGTGAAAGTGGTCTTAATAAAAACTGGGTGCCTTCTCACCTTCCTCCACCTCCATTCCAGGAAAGGAGAGAACAGGTGTGGCTTGTTCACTTTTCCTCCTCAGAGTTGTAAGCCAGCCCACTCTCCTCTCCTGTCCTATTACTTTATGATGAAGTGTGCCCTTTAGGAAATAGGAAGGCTTGAATACAGGACACTGCCGGAGGTACAGAGATGCCCACAGTGTTTCTGCAGGTAGCCCTCTTAAAGGAAGCAGAGTATAGGTTGAAATGTCTTATTTTCATTATGGACATCAGTCTGTTACAGTTGCATAAGGTGGGGAGATAGTTCAGAAAGAGGAGGCTATGCAGGCCTCACTGTTCTGGGATCACTTACACAGTGAAACAATTGCTCTAAGTTGGTTCACACAGGTATTGTATCACAGTAAAGCAGTAGCAGTAAGTCAGTTTTGATGTTTTGTAATAGTATTTTTTATTGTTTTCTGTCCTAAAGTAAGAGGATATCAGTTTAATAAATAAATATGAGAACTCCTTTTTTTATCAAAGAGAGAACAAATACCATGCAATCAGTTGCTCTAAGAGATCTATCAGAAATAACAGCATTTCGTGACAAAAGGACTTATCAGACATCGAATTTGCAGATATTTAAGGAAATATATACCTTTCTTGCTTTTGTGATTCTGCACCATTTTAGTAATAATTTATATAAAAATAATTACTGTGAAAAAATGACTGTTTTGAGTATTTGAGACATTTGCTTTAGGGTTTGGGGTCTTAATAATACACATAAGGGAATCATGTGATTAAACAGATTCCAAGGAGTTCTCAAGGGCCAGTTGGAGCAGCCACTTAGGTCTAAACTGTTCAAGACAGAAGATGGCCAGATTGCCCCTCCTCCCCAGGGTATGACAGAATCCAGGGAAGAAATTCTATTTATGTTAAAATGGTATATTAAAGAGAGCTATTATTTTTGTGAGAGAAGAGTGAAAATAAAAAATGTTGACTTTTATAAAATCTTCATCCTCTAGGCTTATTGTACAGAATTGACAAAACACCTGCTCATTGCAGAAACTTTTGAGGTCATTCTGGTCATCTGTTGACATTTATCTTAATATTTACTAGAATGTACTTTACATATATGTTAGCATTTTAAACTTATTTTTTTAGAAATAGCATTCCTGTAAGAAGCCTTGCTACATATTTTACCTACTTCATCACCATACCATGAAATTTTAATATCTGAATACACAGAGTATCTGTGTACTGTATGTATATGCACAGCCGCCACATTGACTGTGACTCACATGACTCTATAGGACTCAGTAGGATTGCACTGTAGATTTCCAAGGCTGCTCATCTTTATGAATGCTGAAAGCCACATTTTTCTCCAGTAACGTGACAGGTGAATTTGAACTGTCAACCTTTTGATTAGCGGCTGAGAGTTTAACCTTTGTGCCACCAGGACTCCTAAACATACTTAAATCTCTGCTTTATACATAAGAAGGATAAGGGTTTTTTTTTCCTCAGGAACTACATTTTATCCCGTGAACAGAGATATCCTAGTACTTATTGCTGCTGTTATATATTAGAAACATAAAGAATTGTGTTTGTATGCATGTATTTTACATTATATGTTAGCTATGTAGATAAATCTTTAAAGACAGATGACATGTATACTTTTTCTCTTATAATGGAACTATTTTCTTTTTCACTGTCAAGCATCCGGGTTGCAGTAGAGACTTTTATGCAGCTTCCCTTTAGAGCAAAAAAATTTGGACTGTTCTGCACAAAACCAGTTACATTACATATTGACTTCTGTGAAGACAGTGCTGAAATTGTGTAAGTACAGCTTCCAAAATACATTGACTACTTAGTCTTAAATCTGTGATGTTTACACCAAGTCAGTTCCTCTTTAGAAGCACTAAGCCTTTGGAAGGGCCTTTTTCTTCCTTGGGGAGTGTCCCTCTTTTTTCCCCCTTTAACCTGTGATTTTAACAGCAGTTTACTGAAAAGTTGGATTTTCATTCATTCATTGTTACACATTTCCCTCCCCCCCTTCCTTTTCCCTTCACCATCTCCCAGTTCACTTTCTTTTTTTTTTAAATAGTCATTGTTGCACAGTTTCTCCCCCCTCCCCATTCCACTTTTCAGTGTACCTCTTATTCTGGACTGTTGTCTTACAGGCAGTACCTAATTATATATTCATTTAAAATAGTTCTTTCCTTCATCTGTCTGTTCCAATGCAGTGTTCGTTATCCAGCCCCTCTTTTCCTAGTTTCCTCCCAACCTCCCATGGCAGTCCTGTTTTATAACAGTGTTATGCAATATTTGTCATTTGTGACTAAGATAATTTCACTTGGCGTAATGTCCTCCAGAGTCTCCCATGTTCTGTAATGTTTTATGAGTTACTTTTTTTTTCAGTGCTGCATAGGATCCCATTGTGTGACTATATCATAGTTGTTCTGTCCATTTACTTATTGGTGAGCACTTGGGTTGCTTCCATCTCTTTGCTATGGTGAATAAGGTAGCAGTAAACATGGATGTGCATATATCTGTTTGGGTGGTGGCTCTGGAGTCTTTAGGGTATATGCGTAGTAGTGTAGTTGCTGGATCAAATTGTATTTCTATTTCCAAGTTTTTGAGAAAGTGCCAGGTTGCCTTCCATAGTGGTTGAACCATTTTACACTCCTACCAGCAGTCAATTAAGTGTTCCAGTCTCTCCACAATCTCACCAGCACTTGTTGTTTGCTGCTCTGTTGAGCTTTGCTATTGTTGCTGGGGTGAGAGGATATCTCATAGTTGTTTTGAGGGTGTCTTCTGTGTTCATCAGGGTTTGTCATCAGGTTGTACAGTAGAGACCTCCCTTTGTCCCCCCTTTCCCCCTTCCTTGTTAGTGAATTTATAGATAACCAGTGACCTGTAAAGAAAAAACTCACACATATATGTCTAATATGTTTCATTAAAAAAGCCCTTTGCATTCTTCTCCAGCTCCAGTCCTCCTCTCTGGGAGGCCACTGTGATCTGTTCAGATACAGAACTTCCAGCCCTTTTAAAAAGTGCTTTCATAAACATTCATATGCATGGAGTTTTCAATGAAGAATGGAATGTACTATCTGATGTTTTTGTTTAAGAACATACATTGAATGTCTTTGCTGAGAATGTATGAATGGGAATTAGAGTCAGCAGAGGGAGACGTGCTATGGGTAATTGAGACTGGCTCATTCCAGGAAATTAGAGCTTTCCCATCACCACTAGCCTGTATGGAAACTTTACTGTTCCAACCTTTGCTGGGCATTAAGATTCTGCTCTCAGATCTCTGCCTCCAGGAACTTTGTGGCCAGGAAGACATACAGATCACTATGGTCAGTTGTATTGGGATGAATGATGGTGGTGGGCACAGAGCACTCCAGTGTCTCGAGGAAGGGGACCCAACAGCATGGCCCATTCTCAAGGCCTCTGTCCATGTTAGTGTAGACAGTAGCCTTGGAGAGAACTACTAAGATTTGCCTTAGATCATCATCCCAGAGCAGAGCCAAAGCCAAGCTACTTACTTGTTATCTGTACAAAATACACTGTGATAAATATCCAGCATGTGATTTATAAGATGGTACTGGATGACTAACCTCAGAATCTTATTTACTGAAGATACATTTGTTCACTGTTCCAGGCCTGCCAAGAAGTGGGACAATGCTGCTGTTCAGTACTTTCAGAATATTATAAAAGGTAAAGCAAGTTCATGGTCACTCAGTGTGCGCTGACCTGGCATGGGGGTGGGGGAGAACTTGAGAGCTTAACCTTCTTTTCATGAAGCGGTATGGAATCTGCCTGCTTAGCTGTTTTACTCTCCTTGTATGGGGGTCCATTAATTATTCAAAGCTTATTTTAAACAAGGGCTCTGGAACTTTGGAAATTGATACAGATGTCAGTAACTGAGAATCTAAATCACGAGAAGGCTGTTTGAGTAGAAAATCCCTAAATAATGGTTGACTCTTAGTTTTATAAAGGAGCCACTGCCCTGAAAAATCAGTTTATTTTTCTTTCATTGATCCAGCAGCTGATGAAGAAGATACTAGTGAGGGGTACTGTTGTAGTTAGGTGCTGTTGAGCCAACTGTGACTCACAGCAGTCCTATAACCAACAGATCCTGGACCATCTACACAATCTTTGATATGCCCAAACCTATGTTAGAGTCACTGTTCACTGAGAGTCGTCTTCCCTTTCTTGAGCCCTCTTACCTTTCCTAGCATAATACATTTGTCCAAGGACTGGGTGCTCCTGAAAGTATGTGAGACGAGTGTCACAGTCCTGTTGTCTAAGGAGCACCCTGGTTGCACTTCTCTAAGACAGACTTGCTTGGTCTTTTGGCATTCCATGGGATGGTCAGTATTCTTCACCGTCACCCATTTCAAAGGCATCAGTCTCCTGTCATCCTTATTCATTTTACAACTTTCAGAAGTATAAGAAGCAATTGGATAAAAACCATGGCTAGGGTCAAGTGCCCCTTAGTTTTTAAACTGATGGTCTTTCTCTTTGTTAACAAACTGATAGCACTTTGGAGTGGTCCTTGGCTGCAGACTTTCCCAGTGTAACCTGTTTTTTGCTTTCTTGACTGCTACAAGCATGAGTTTTGAGTATGGATCCAAATAAAATGAAATTGTTCACAATTTCAGTTTTGTCTATCATGGTTGTAAAATGACCTCTCCTAACTCCACAAAAGGAAACCATCCCTGTCAGTAATATCCACAGTACAAGAGTAATTCCTATAAGGTGAGATCGGGTCTCCCACGCTCCTGCCCCTTCTTTTCCTAATTCCGACACCAATCTTATTATTCTTGTGGGTCTGAAATTCATTGCAGTGACTCTACAGACTTACCAGAGCCATACGGTTATGGAGTTTGTTAGGGAAGTTAGCAGGCTGTAGTTCAGGTAGGCAGCAAGATATAATCCCTCAATACAGAGAGCTTCTCGAGTGTGCTTGTAGCCTCTTTGACCTTCAGCCTCAAGGCTTAGGTCAGTGTGGGAAAGTTTCCTTAGTCCTACCAGTGATATTATCTTCCCTCAGTATCCCAGCAGCTTGGGTGGAGGTCTCTGGCTCTAATGGACTCTCGTCTGTTTCATGTCATTCTCTGGTTCTGTACTGAGTCTTCTGTTGCTTTTGTGTACAGTCCGGTCTGGCTGATGCAGGCATCTCTGGCCCCAAAGGATGGACACTGGTTCCTTTTCCTTGTTGGTATTGAGATTCCCCATTTCTGTCACTTAATCTGCTCAATTTAATGGTGAGACTAGCCAGCCCCCTTTTGAGTAGACTAACATACTCCATAGGATCCTGCAACATCAAAGTCAGTGGCTTGGAAAGCCATTTGTACAATAAACCTTTGACACCGCAGTAGTGATGTTACCTGTTGGTCTGTGGTGAGGAATTTTGTTTTGAGATGTAATACATACTGAAGGCTATAGCTGTTGATTTTCTCTAATAAATGCTTCAAGTCTCCTTTACTTTGTGCAAGCAGGGTTCTGTCATCTGCATAAAGAGGATTGTTGATGAGTCTTCCTCCAATCTTGATGCCACATTCTTTTTTATATAGTCAGCTTCTTGAAATGATTTGCTCAGTGTACAAATGGCTTAAATATTGTTGATTGCTGTCGAGTCGAGCACAACTCATACCAACCCTATGAACAAAAGGCCTGAAGCTTTTCTATAACTATCCACATTTGTCAAAGTTCATAGAGTTTCCAGAGGCATGTTGTTTAAGAAGTGAATGCCACTCCTGCTTCCAAGCATAGGTATAGAGAGAGGATAAAACTCCGACACACATCTTTCCTGATTTAAAACCCTGCAGTATTCTCTTGTTCTGTTCAGACAACAGCTTCTTGATTTCAGCTTTCAAATGAGCATAATTGTCTGTAATTCCTGCTCTTCTCAGTGTTATCCATCATTCACAGAAGACCCTCCAGGGTATGGATTAATGAAAGTGACTGTGGCAGTGGGCTCAAGTGTTTTGGGGATGATAAAGGATAGGATAGGGTTTGTGTCTGTTATAGCAGCAGCAGCAACATTGTTAATTTAAGATGTACAAAAGAAATTTTTTTCTTTTTAGTATTTTTACATTCTTACTATATAAAATCTTCTTTGTGACTTCTATTTAAATTCCTGGTAATGAAGAATCAAAGGAGTTTGCCAGCGTTTTATGACTGTTTAGTGGTGGAGAATTGACTAGTCATGTCGCACTTTATTGGGATCCTGCCCCTCGTCTGTGCTTCTCCATTATAGTATTTTGAACCTGATAGAAATGGGAGGTCTTGGAAGGTTATCTATTTAGGAATTTGAACCCTCCTGAGGGGTTGAGCCCCCTGAGGGATTCATGCTATGAAAATGAGGTATGGAGGAGGCCAGCTGCCTACTTTTAAATTCTCTCCAACCATTTTTGCAATTTAACCTTCTTTCATTCTTGTTTTCTCTCCATAAAATGACAATAATAGTACTTACTTTAAAAAAATTGTCTGAAGAATGAAATGAAATAAAACTTAAAAAGGACTTATCATAGTAGAAGCTACATAGGAAGAACTTAACTCATGAACCTACTCTGGGCCATTAAGACTATCCCAAAGTAGCTAAGTCCACTGACCCATGGAATATGTGGAGGAATAGAACGGATTATGAAATGAAGATGATGGCTGGAAATTTATGTTTGAGAGTCATTTGAAGCAAAGAGAGGGCGAAGGATGTGGGATGATATTTATAGGATGGCAAAAGAAGGATGCCATTGATAGAGGAAAAATAATAAAGGACTTGCTGCCTAGTCAGGAGACCCTTGAACTCGCCAGACATCAGGTCCATCCCCTCTAAGCCCCTGACCAATCTTGGGGCAGAGAGCCTCTGATATCCGCAGCTGAGCAATCTGAGGTGGTTTTTGTTGTTGTTATGTACCATCGAATCATTTGCGACTCATAGCGACCCTATGTACAAGAGCCCTAAACGCCGTTCTATCCTGTGCCAACCTCGCTATCTCAAACACATTCATTCCCACCACTCCACTCACAGAATCGATCCATCTCATCGAGGGTCTTCCTCTCCAGCACCGTCCCTCCACTCTCCCAAACATGATGTCCCTCTCCAAGGACCAGTCCCTCCTTGCAAGATGCCCAAAGTATGTCAGATGAAGCTTCAGAATCCTTGACTCCAGGGACCATTCTGGCTTCACCCTCTCCAGCACAAACCTGTTTGTTCTCCTAGCAGTCCATGGTATATTCAACACTCTTCTCCAGCACCACAACTCAAAGGCATCAATTCTCTTTCTATCATCCCTAGTCACTGTCCAACTCTCCAATGCATAGTACATAATTGCAAAGACTATAGCCTGGATCAGGCGCACCTTAGTCTCCACCCTGACATTGTTGCACTTCAGTACTCTTGAGAGGTCCCTCACAGCTGACTTTCCCAATGCAATTCGTCTCCTGATTTCCTGGCTGCTGTTACCAAGAGTGTTGACTGTGGAGCCAGGTAAACTAAAACTGTTAACTATCTCAATCTCTTCACTATCCATACTGATGCTGCCAATTGGCCCAGTGGTGAGAATCTTTGTTTTCTTGATAATGAGCTTCAATGCATATTGAAGATTGCAGTCCTTGACTTTCTGCAGCAAGCGCTTCAGGTCCTCCTCAGTTTCAGCAAGCAGGGTTGTGTCATCTGCATAACGCAGGTTGTTGACGATTCTTCCACCAATCCTGATTCCTGACATAATTTCAATTTCAGGTATCAGCAAGCTTTCATTTGTTATTTAAACATGTTTAAAACATTTTTTTTGCTGTTTAGCTACTACTCATGTGGAAGCCAAATTGTGTGCTGTGGAAAAAGATATTTTTGAAGTTTACCTTTATGTAACTATAAAAAATGAGAAGGTAAGTGAAAGACTTAAACTTTAAAAATACTTTATTCTTCATTTAAAATGTATGTGTATGTGTGTGTGTGTGTGTATATATATATTTTATAAAACTCTGGTAAGGATTTGTACTGCCAACCAAAAGTCACGCTATTTGAATTCACCAGCTGCTTCATGAAAAAAAGATGAACCGTCTCCAGCTGTGCACTTTACAGCCCCTGAAGACCTGTTGGAGGTTCAGTCAGGAGTCAGCTCTAGTCAGCAGTACAGAACAGCAGCATATAGATTGGTTTCGGGGGAGTTGCCTCTGATTCTTCTTTTTAATTGTTGTTAATATATATTGTTTATGTGAAAGTTTACAAATCATTGTGATTTTTCCAAAGTCCTGTTTTATAATATTAGTTGCCATTGATATCTGTAAGTTTGATTGTCTTTGTCTGTCAGTTTCTTGTATTGGGCGTGTGATTTGAATGTTGCTACTCTTAGAAGCTTAAATATGTATGTGCTTGCTTGTTTATTGTCTGTCAGATACTGTACTGAAGTGGAGCTCCCAATTAATACAGACAAGGAAGAAAGATTGACCATCCACTTCTGGAATATCCGGCTTTCTTAAACCCTATGGACAGTAGGCACAGTTATACAGCTAGATTGTTAGATACAGCACGGAAGGTGGAGCCCTCAAATGAGAAGATAGTGAGAAGTGAGGGAGAACAGTTGCAGATGCCAACTAATGATTGGAAAATGAAATATATGAAATATGAATGTAGGGAAATTGGACATTATGATAAGTGAAACACGTCAAGATTGACTTACTAGGTATTAGCAAGTAGGGTGAACCAGCAATGACCACCTTGAATCAGTCAGTCATATGATTTACTATTCCAGGAATGAAAAATTAAGAATGGTGTTGCATTCAAAGTTAAAAAATCATTTCAAAATCTATCCTGAAGTATAATGATGTGAGCAACAGGATACTTAACTCTCTATGCACACACAAGGAAGACCTATTAACACCACTGTTGCTCAGACATGGACAGCAACGGCAGAAGTCAGAGATGGGGGGATTGAGAATTTCTGTCATCTTTTGCAGTCCAAAATTAATGCAGTCAAGATATATAAACCATAAACGACTGCAATGCAAAAGTTGGAAACAATGAAGACATAATACTGATTGGAAAATAAAGACTTGGTGATAGAAATGAGACTGGAGGGGGAGCGAGCAGCGGCGCCGTCATGAGGCCCAGCGCAGCAGCGGTCCACACAGTACTTTAGGATTGTTATCAAAGACATGATTTCACCTCACTTCATCAACGCCCATAAACTTTTTCTTCTTTTTGGACTCCTATTTTACACCACAATGCAGCAAGCTTTAGAACTAGCTTTGAATCGTGCAGAGTATATTATTGAAAGTGCCTGACAGAAACCTCCTAAAAGGAAATACTTACCTGGTGGAAGGAAATCTATATTTCAGAAACTTTATGATTTATATACTGGAGAATGTGAGAAAGAGCCAGAGGTTACGAAATTAAGAAGAAATGTGAACTTGTTAGAAAAGCTTGTTATGCAAGAGATGTTGTCTTGTGGTCAACCTATACCCAGGAAATGCGGGATATTCTCTGATGCTCAGGGGGGAAAATGGATCAGATTCTGAGACCATTCGATTGCCATACGAAGAAGGGGAATTACTTGAATATTTGGATGCAGAAGAATTACCTCCTATTTTGGTTGATCTGGAAAAATCTCAGGTTAATATTTTCCATTGTGGATGTGTCATAGCAGAAATACATGACTACAGGCAGTCTGGTAACATGAAATCTCCTGGTTACCAAAGTAGACATATTCTTTTACGCCCAACAATGCAGACTTTAATCTGTGATGTACATTCAATAACAAGTGATAACCATAAATGGACCCAGGAAGACAAACTTTTACTTGAGAGCCAGCTGATCTTGGCGATGGCTGAACCACTGTGTCTTGACCCTTCTGTGTCCGTAGCCTGCACTACAAACAGACTGCTTTATGACAAGCAGAAGATGAACACATGGCCAATGAAACGGTGTTTCAAGAAGTATTCTAGATCCTCTCTGAATAGGCAGCAGGACCTGTCTCACTGTTCACTTCCTCCTCAGTTAAGATTACTTGATTTCTTACAAGAAAGAAAAGCAGGTCAGCATTATGACCTCAAAATCTCCAAAGCAGGAAATTGTGTAGATATGTGGAAATGGAACACCTGTAATTTGGCTGTACCCTCTGAAGTAGATGTAGAAAAATATGCTAAAGTGGAAAAATCTATCAAATCTGATGACTCACAACCAACAATATGGCCAGCCCATGATGTAAAAGATGAATATGTATTTGAATGTGAAGGTGGTAATCAGTATCAGAAAACAAAATTGACCATTATGCAGTCACTTGGTGATCCACTGTACTATGGTAAAATACAGCCATGTAAAGATGATGAAGAAGGCGATAGCCAGATGTCTTCATCCCACTCCTCTACAGATGATCATTCAAATTGGTTCATTATTGGATCAAAGACTGATGCTCAGAGAATAGTCAATCAGCACCAGGAATTGGTCCAGAATGAAGCCAAATGTCCAGTTAAAATGTCACACACGTCCAGTGGCTCAGCCACTCTGAGTCAGCATTCTCCAGGAAAAGAATCAGAATCTGAGACTGTGTCCATTCAGTCATCAGTGTTGGGGAAGGGAGTGAAGCATCGGCCTCCACCCATCAAACTTCCCTCAAGCTCAGGAACTAGTTCCTCAGGTAATTATTTCACCCCACAACAAGCAAGCAGCTTTCTCAAGTCTCCAACGCCTCCTCCTGCTTCTAAGCCCCCGAGTCTGTCTTGGAAGTCGTCTGTGGATCTCAGCCAAGTTAGCATGCTTTCTCCAGCTGCCTTGTCACCTGCTAGCTCATCACAAAGTTCTGGAACTCCTAAATCATCTACTCCTACACCAACCTCTTCATCGACCCCACACCCTCCTGATGCCAGAACTCAACTCCTATTACCCCTACTGCCACCCCTACTCCCCAAGATTCAGGCTTCACCCCTCAGCCCACTTTGTTAACTCAGTTTGCTCAGCAGCAAAGGTCTCTGAGCCAGGCAATGCCTGTAACGACCATTCCTCTTTCCACCATGGTAACATCTATAACTCCAGGAACCTCTGCTACCCAAGTCATGGCAAATTCCGCTGGCCTTAACTTCATCAATGTAGTGGGCTCTGTTTGTGGAGCCCAGGCTTTGATGAGTGGTTCAAACTCCATGCTGGGCTGTAACACTGGTGCCGTAACTCCTGCAGGAATAAATCTGAGTGGCCTTCTTCCCTCAGGAGGTCTGCTGCCCAGTGCACTGCCAGGTGCTCTGCCAACTTCGCAAGCAGGTGTTCCGTTTGGTTTAAAAAATACATCAAGTCTCAGGCCATTAAATCGACTCCAGCTCTCCAGCGGCTCATTCATCTTTAACCCTCTGCAGCAGCAGCAGCAGCTCTCTCTGTTCACTCCGCAGTCACCTCAGCAGCCCACCGCTTCCAGTCACGCGCAGCCGCAGCCGGGGGAGCAGGTTCCTGAACAAGGTTCAGCCGGTCAAGAACAGGCCTTATCTGCTCAGCAAGTTGCTGTTATCAACCTTAGTGGAGTAGGGGGCTTCATGCAGTCCCTGGCAACTGCAGTTGTGATTCTTGCAGCATCAAATGGCTATGGCAGCGGCGGCGGCACAAACAGCTCAGCTCCATCATCGTCGGCACTCAGGCAGCCAGTCAAAAAGTAAGATGAAGAGAGGCACGCCAACCACTCCAAAATTCTGACTCTGACATTATTTTTTTCTCTTTGAAAAGACTAGAGCATTGAATCAAAGATTCTGAGTTTTTACTTAATTTTTGTTTTTGGTTTTTTAATGTGTCAGTATTTTACATTGCTAGATGTACAGACTTTATACAGAAGCACAACCCCATGGTTTTTAAATAAAACAGAGAAATGATTTAACCAAACAACAACAACAACAAAAAAAGAAATGAGGCTGGAGAACAAATGATTAAATTTGGTATGTTCAGTGATTAATTCATTGCAAATAACTTTTAAGAAATGGTGATCATGCAACAATGAATGAATGGAAACCCAAAATCTCTGTAAATGTTTATGAAAATTAATAAAATATAATTAAAGAAAAAAAAAGAAAACTGATAAAAAGAAAAAAAAAAGAAATGGTGATCATACGCATGGACCTCACCTGATAGACTGCACAGAAATCAGATTACTTGCTGTCCTATTAAACTTTGCCACTGCTACTGGAGTGAGATGATATCTCATTGTGGTTTTGATTTGCATCTCTCTTATTGCTAGTGATTTTGGGCATTTCTTCATGTTTCTGTTGGCCATATGAATATCTTCCTCTGAAGATTCTTTCCATGTCTTTTGCCCATTTTGTAATTGTATTAACAGTATTTTACTTGTGTAGGCCCTGTGGGATCCTGTATACTTTTGATACAAGACCCTTGTCTGAAATGGTATTGCCAAATGTTTTTTTTCCCAGTCTATTTCTTCCACTCTATTGGAAAATGTTTTTGATGCACAAAGTGATTTAATTTTTAAAAGATTCCATCCATCAATTCTGTCCTCTCCAGATTGCACATTTCTGGCTGTATTTGACAGTCTCTTTATACCATAGACTAAGCCATCTAAGCTTGATTCAGTTTGTCTCTGAACTTTTTGGTTTGGGGCTTTACTCTCAGGTCTCTGATCCACCTTGAGCTGATTTTTGTGTATGGTATGAGATGTGGATCCTATTTCAGCTTTCTGCTGTTTTACCAGCACAATTTGTTAAAGAGTTTATAATTTCCCCATTTGATTTCCTTGTTAATTATCAGTTGACCGTAGATAGCTAGGTCTATTTCTGGGTTCTCAACAGGACAGCAAGTAATAAATGTTGGAGAGGATGTGAAGAGATAGCAGCACATTGTTGGTGGGATTGTAAAATGGTACAACTACTCTGGAAGGCAGTTTGACATTTCCTCAAAA